CCTTTTACATTAGATGCTACACTTCTTTAGTAACTTTTAAGTCTCTTCTCAAGACGTTTTTATTTAAGAAAGCTTTTAATTTATAGATTGTTTTATTCCTTATATTTATACATATTTTTACGTTTATTCATTTATATTTTTATACTTATTTGCCAATTTTACCAATATGTTGATACTTTATGAATTGTATTGTACAGCGCATCTGAGCACATATTGTGAAAGATGGCGCTCTATAAGTGTCTTAATAATAATAATAATAATAATCAGCATGTAACAATGAGAAAACGATTTCACTCTAATTCCTTCGTCAAACGAGGGAAATGTCATTGGTTATAATTTATGCTATAAAAAAAACAGAATGACAAAATTGAATCGATGCGACATGCAACGTAAATAGTCAAGAGAGTTGCCTCCCATTAACCACAGCAATTGTTAATTCAGCTTTTATAATTTTGACGGGTGCAATACGAAGAGACACATTTTGAGCAAGAATATCAATTATCAATAATTAGTATGTCATAGCTGCTCAATATACACAACAAATAGGAACGTGCCAACAATATTGCAAAAATTCGTACAAAATTCGAGATGATGAAGCTGACCAAAGAAAGAGAAAAATCTAGTCTGAGTACCAAATCATCCTTAGTCCTCAAAGATGACCACCACTTTAAAACCTTCATCAGCTCATGAAGAGAGATATTATCATAAAACATAACATCAGTAATCTTATCCAACTCCGAATGATGCATTCACAGATATAAAGATGGGTTCCCTTATTTTGTTTCATAAAATATGAAAATGAAAATACTTATATAACTAGAAAGTAGAGGTGTTCTAATGACTTGGAAAAATACTGGTTTGTCTCACATGTTCATAATTAATTCATGATTAGGCTAAATTCCAATAAATGAGCGATCAAGAAAGGTAAAAAAGTATACAACAATTTTACTCATGGTTTGTTCGTTTCTTACTAATAAGATCCCAAGGACTTAAAAAAACTCAAGAAACGTTACAAAGCTACAAGGCTGACATTTACAGGGATAATCCACATAGAATAGCTGGACCTGTCAGGACAAACAGAACTCAAACATCTCCCATAGAACAGAAAATTTTATTCATGATTTGCTCTTTTCCCACTAATTAGACCCCAAAGACTTAAAAAACTCAAGAAACCAAATTAAAATCAGTAAGTTTGCAAACTAGCTATATGGTGATATATTTTTAGAATAAATAGTGATGTGATATGAAGTATATTTGTAAAATGTTCAGAATAATTGAAATGTATTTACTTATTGTCTTTATATATTTTTTTGTCTGTTGTTGTTGTTGTTGTCTGTTGTTGTCTGTTGTTGTTGTTGTTGTCTGTTGTTGTCTGTTGTTGTTGTTGTTGTTTGTCGCTGGTCTTGGCGATTTGTGGATGTTGGATTCCTCTCTATGTATGCTTGTTGTTCTGTTTCGTATCGTTGTTTGTTTTGTAGTTGGTCAGATTTCCGTGTGAGAGTGGTGTATCGGTGATGGTGTTCTTTTTGTGTATTATTTGTAGTTTTTATATATATATATTGGTACTGTGATATCTTGTACTTATTAGGTGGCCATGTACTTCAGCCCTAAAATGGCAAAAGGCAGTAAAGACATTTTTTACATTTTGAGATAACTGTACTTTTCTTCACACTAACTGCCTTTTTGCTTTGTCACATATTTCCTATATATATATAAAAGCAGATACGGCCTTTTTCATTTGAAAATATATTCAAGTTATGGAGTTGTCACCTATATATCTCAATAAGTATCCTACCAAATAGAGCTTGAAATTCTGATGCCAAAGGTTCAAAAAAGTGATTTAGTCCTATAGGTCTTGCTGTATTCAATGTCTCAATCCAATGGGCTTCCCTAGATTGACGGAATTTGGTAGTTTCATCTTCGGGCAAGTCAATTTCTATACGCTCAATTGGGATTAGGGCGAGATCGTCTATTGAATGGTCGTCGAGGTTGAAATGATTAGAAACAGGTGTTAAATTAAAGGGACAAATTACAGCCAGCTGGCGGAGTAGACTACTTTAATGGCTTTTCTTGACTTTAATAGTGCTAGTATATACCTTGTGGAATCGACTTTTGCAATCCGAAATTTCGAGTTGTGCCAAACATATTCAGACAAATAACAATTAAACATATTTTGTATGTGTGCAATATATACCCTTTTGCACAAGCAATGATAGATAAATATGGGTCAACTTTATAATGTATACAATATATACATTACTTATTATTATATTTTGTGAAACATCTTGAAACTTATTAATGGATTTCTTACTATACCATCCAATGATATGCTTAGAATTACTATATACGTCAATAATATCGAATAAAATTAGTTAGTCACCACAATAGTTGTTTTACACCATATGATATATAGAACGATTGAGAGAGAATGCATAGGTAAGTTACTCCTTGTAAATATATATACCAAATGAACAATTTTAGGATATATGGACTCTAGCAGATATTTGATCTCCATCCAACTGAAGAAGTTGTCAACTAAGTCACAGTTTTTTTTTATCTTTATCACAGTTACTAAACAGAGGTCGAAAGCTTGGCAATACGTCTAACAATGGCCGTTGGACGAGGACCGAAGGTCTATCATAATTAGACGTACTGACAAGCTTCCGACCATTAACCAACTTAAAAAAAAAACAAAATACAGACCGCAAATAAAAACATCTACTCCAGCACGTGCTATAATATAGGTCACATGAGATCCAATCACATGCTTAACAATACAGGCAATCTTTCGAAATGTCCAGTCAGGAAAATAAATATACCTGTTCGAGTTACATACTATTATTCCCTTATTGCTGTGTTGTTCATTTCATTATAATTAAATCACGATTCCGTTTACACGGTTTCACGCAATTTGATTGGATAACAGTGGTCACGTGCATTCGGTTTATATCTGTTTAAACGGAATGTAAATATAAGCTCTGCCCCTTAACGGACTACTTTTATCTTTGAGTTTGATTGACGTGGCTACTACACGGCGTCGATGTCGTTGCTTCGAACGTCAACAGAACCGAAATCGACACTTCATTTAATGATAACGATATTTTCCAAATTCCCTCGAATGTGCACACTCCAAATTCCAACAATATCATGAATTCTGGACTTATTTCGAACACGTCTTTCAAAAATTTCAACGTGGTCAACTTTCAGCCAGGGAGACAGTAGACTATAAATAGGTGACCTATTTATCTTTGATTGGCTGTTCTCTTGGACATCTCTATTGTTAGTATCATTTCATTGGCGTTATGTTAAAAAGTTTTGTATTTATGCGCCAATTTAGTTCCTTAAATTGTTGTTATATTAAATAACTATTTAAACATGTATTCGAGATGATTTAATTTTAAGGAATGACCTGAACATTTTTTCAGTTTATCGATGTATAAACAGAAAAACCTGTGTACACTTATGTATAAACCGCTTCGCGGAATTTGTTATGACCCCTAAATACACTACTGTCATGGCATTTTCGTGATTTGCATACACTTTGCATTGTTAAATTTTATCAGTGATTAGTAACATATTTGAAAAATTAGTGTTGTTTATGAAGAGATTTGAGTGCTTTATTTCTGACATAATAAGAATATTCTAATTTCAACCGGGTTTCGTATTAAATTTGTTGTAAAATTCATTTTTTTCCAATTGTACCCCAAATCATTTTTTAAATATGATCGAAGAATAAAACTTAGATCGATTTCTTTAACCCACATCGCATATGACTAGTGTTTAGATACTATTTGAAGCCAAGTCAATCGTGAATACATTTATAAAACAGGTCACATTTACTTCGTAAATGACCAAGAGTCCAATATTAGGTGTCCATTTTTAATGTCAAATATTGGACTTGGGGCCATTTGAAAGTAACATTATGTTGGATATTGGTACGCCAAGTTCAAAGGTTGACGCCACATCTGTATTTTAACTTTTGAAAAAGAAGCAGTCTTTAGACGTATTTAGGCAGTAATCATTGGATCATGTCCAAGTCACTTTCACTTTCAAAATAGCGTTAGATGTATCCTGCGCTCCCCCGGCTTCCAATATAACAAGAGTTATAAATTTCTAAGCTATTCATTATTGATTAACAACCGCCTTTTGGAACAGACTGTTGTATTTCCCTTTCAGTGCTCGAGAGTTATATTCCAAGGGAGTTAACTACAGTCCAGTTTTGTCGTTAAGGATTTCAAAAAGCTGTTTAAGTAATTGAATATCAGGGACATTTATACATTTACTGGTGCGACCTTTTGTCTGACTTCCGCAAATCGTTCCGTAATAACGCAACAGTACTGTTTCCGGCCTCATAAAGCGAGTTCGGAAAAAACAATATAAACTCGTATCACAGGTTAATAACTATGCGAATTAGGTTATGTATTCATAACGTAAAAAAATACAACATGGCATCTTGAAGTTGATAATTCATTTAAACTGGGCGGTAAACGACATGCAAGTTCTCCTATAAGCAATAGAAACGGTGCAAGGAAAAGGAAAATATGCGTTTATTGATAGTTTTGTGAAGAATAGAATCTTTAACTCGTGCTTATGTAATATGAAATTTATGAAATAATTTGATGGATTTTGGGTGGGTTTTCCTATATATTTACATATATATAACTAAATATGTGTTACTAATATTTCACTCTTACTATCATTACAGATGGATTGAGTGTTTTGGATTCCATCTACAGTAGAACCCAACTGATGCAAGATGAAGGAGCTAATATCTAGAGATACAGTCACCTGTTTTGTTTCTTTTGTCATCAGTTTCGTTTGTTCTTTATTTTATAACAATCCAGATTTGATTCTAGGAAAGGATTTCGTGAAAATGGTAAAGCAAAGTGTCAGTTATATTCACACTAGCACAACCTTGTTTAGGTGTGGAGTTCATCCTATTTCTGAAAAAGGTCCACCTTTTTATCTTGTAAATCAAACAAGATATCCTGGCGAGGATGCTATATTTTCATGTGGAATGGCATTTAATGGCACCATTTCTGATGTAAGTTACATACTTTGGCTCAAGAACAATGAAGCGGTAGTAAATGAAACTAACCATTATATTACTTGGGAAGTTGCAAATTATTCTGACGGCCAAGTCGTTGTTACCACTAATCTGAGCATTTACTCTGTGACCGCGGATGATTTCGGCATGTATCAGTGTTACGTGACAGTATTGGAATCAGTGACACCAACAAACGACACAAAACAGAAACCAACACCTAAACCTAACCGACGGTCTGAAAATGTAGACTGTAGTTGCAAATGTGTAAATTCTCCTTCACTTCGGATGCCAGAATTTAGCAAGGAAGATATCGCACTTGTGTATTATAAGCTACACAAACACCACTGGGTTGGTGAGTACCATCTACTGCAAGAGAAACACCGTACCAGAACACTGTTTATAGTTCCTGGAACTTTGGTTTCTGTTGCTGTGTATTTTCGACACCTCAGAGAAATAGATGATTTTTCTGTTCGTTTTACTCGAAGTGGTCAAGATATTCAGTCATTTGATACTCAATGTTCATACTCTGCTCGAGCCAATGCATGGTTAATACACTTAAATGGTATATCAGTAGCTTACAATAACATAACGTACATGAACGCAACAGCAGGTCATTGGAAGGGAAGTGTGGGAATCATATGGACTTGTATATCTCCATCTATGTACGGTGTGTACGAAATTACAATACTGAGAAAAGTTTATAACAAACACGATAATATTCAATGGATTGAAAAAATAAACTATCCTACCAAGGTGTACATCAAACCTAAAGAATCCACAATCGTCACTGAAAATATTTCCAACAATAAAAATCGAGCAGTGGTTGTTTATAACGAGAACTGCTGGTCCAATGAAAAACTGAAACCTGAAAGCTGTGAGCACATCAATACTTTGGTGGAATCAATCTTTGATAAGAACATCCTATATGAAAATTTGATTACTAGGAACATTGTTATCCTTTTATTTGGGGCCATCTTAATCAGCGGGATTATCGTTTTTTTTATTTCGCCTTTCATGTGGTGTAAAATATCTCAATGTTATTTTGTCATGAAAATGTCTGGTAAGAAGGGGCTGGCTGGAATCCAGGTTAACCCAGACCTTCAATATCACCTATATATTTCAAGTTCAAGTGCCCCTAGTGATAGATCATTTATTGAGCAAAATATACTTCCAATAATCAAACCTTTAGATTTAAACGTTTTTTGTGGACAAGAAGATGTTCTTCCAGGAAGTTTTGAAATTACCGAGATTTCAAATGCTATTAACAAAAGCCTGAAGTGTTTGGTGATAGCCACAAAGAAATATATAGAAACTCCACTTCAAAATTATTTTGAAATGAACTGTATTTTAGGTTCATTTTCTATTTGTGATTTGGTAATCGTTAACGTAGATAATTGCCTAATTAACAAAAGATTCGATACAATGTACACAGTAATCAATTGTTCAAGGGAGGGTCTGAGTGAAAAAGATAAAACTGTACTGATGCATTGGGCAGTAAAAGGCAGACAAATAATCCCCAATGTGACTCAGAAATCTTTGTTATCAAAAATCAAAAGCTGTATTAAATTATTTTATAGATGAATAAGATATAATTATTGTGAATGAATGGTGGATAATTGAAATGTATTTACTTATTGTTTTTATATATTTTTGTCTGTTGTTGTTGTTGTTGTTGTATTGAGCCTAATTCTGACCCATGTAAAATAAAGAGTTTATTATTATTATTGATATTATATTTTTATATTCGCCCACATGAAATAAGGAGCGTATATTGGCCATGTAGTCAGTCGGTCCTTCGGTCTTTGCTCCAGACAGCAATATTCTTTACGGATTTGTGAGGAATCTTAGTGAAATTGTTTATTATCACCCCATTTGGAAAATATTTAATGCGAGTTTAATGTTCTTGAAAATAAGTTCATTTTTTTTAGCTCGTAAACACTTCTGACGCCGTCAACCGCCATAATATGCCAGAAAACGTTACACCTGACGATTGCCAACAGACCTTACCGTGCGTTAGCGTTATTGTCCCAAGTGTAAAGACACCCGCACAAGATTCGACTGTCTGTGTGGTCTAATAGCCTCTTGTGATTGGTTGAAACGCCGACGCATGTAAATTCATGTCGTTTAATGGCGATTTAGATGAAATTGGGAGAGATTGTTAGTGTTAACAAATGTTGCCCTTGTTCTTCGAAACTCTTCGTTAACATTGCAGAAAGCGCACTTAGTGTGAGTTTTCAATGAAACCTGGAGCAATTCCCAATAATGAATACAATAGGAACCGGCGTATTTAGGCATTTTTAGACCATGACCATGTGGTATTTTTTATTAATCTTTCAATCATGCAGTATTAAATCTCTTGCTATTAATTCAAGGGAGACAAACACAAATATTAAACCCTATATCGGACCACTAATTCATTTGCAATCTGTTTTCATGTTAAATCACGAAATTCAACCTACTATACTTTTTCCAGAATTCTCGTTGAAAACGTTCCAATATGTCACATGAGAGTTTGGCTAATGCTTAGCTTCTGGACAAATATCAATATATCAATAAATCTTAAGCTAGTCAAACTGTAAGTAGACCACTATATCGTATTCATTGCTAATTCATTTGCTGATTGTAAGAAAACAGATTGTAAATCAGTATAACTTATATGGTTTATTCAACATAATATTAAAACATAACATAATTAAATTTTCACTTTGAGCAAGAATATCAATTATCAATAATTAGTATGTCATAGCTGCTCAATATACACAACAAATAGGAACGTGCCAACAATATTGCAAAAATTCGTACAAAATTCGAGATGATGAAGCTGACCAAAGAAAGAGAAAAATCTAGTCTGAGTACCAAATCATCCTTAGTCCTCAAAGATAACCACCACTTTAAAACCTTCATCAGCTCATGAAGAGAGATATTATCATAAAACATAACATCAGTAATCTTATCCAACTCCGAATGATGCATTCACAGATATAAAGATGGGTTCCCTTATTTTGTTTCATAAAATATGAAAATGAAAATACTTATATAAATAGAAAGTAGAGGTGTTCTAATGACTTGGAAAAATACCAGTTTGTCTCACATGTTCATAATTAATTCATAATTAGGCTAAATTCCAATAAATGAGCGATCAAGAAAGGTAAAAAAGTATACAACAATTTTACTCATGGTTTGTTCGTTTCTTACTAATAAGACCCAAAGGACTTAAAAAAACTCAAGAAACGTTACAAAGCTACAAGGCTGACATTTACAGGGATAATCCACATGGAATAGCTGGACCTGTCAGGACAAACAGAACTCAAACATCTCCCATAGAACAGAAAATAGGTTTTGACAGTTTTCATTCATATTGGTCATAGAGCCGAATATGGCCATTATCCAACTTTTTCCAAATTCACCAATTTTACTCATAATTTGCTCTTTTCCTACTTATTAGACTCCAAGGATTAAAAAAAACTCAAGAAACCAAATTAAAATCAGTAAGTTTGTAAACTAGCTATATGCAGTCTGCATAGTGGTACTAAGCAAGTGCACAAACACAAATGAATTTTTTGCGTGAAAAGTTACAATACGAGACTGAAATTTGCAAGCCTTCTCATGACAGACTATGAACGTTTATATTACTGTTGATGATTTAAAGATATTACCCAGAAAAATTCTCATTAATCACCATCAATCCGTAAAACTATCAGATTAAATAATTTCTAGATTTCACTGTCTACAAAGGAGATTCCATAGCAGAAAACTGGTTATTGTGTTGATACTGATTTTACCCCCAAAATTGTTTTTCACAAACTATACTATTATAAACAAATTTTATGTAGCACAAACAATTCACTTTTGCAGAGATAGGAGCTAAGAACAGATTTTTTCCGATCATAATACAAGCATTGCATCCTGTGTTGTCCCCTCGTCGAGCAATCAGTTAGCTCAAGCATGAATCACTGGTTGATGGCTCCAGTTTGGAACATAAGGGCTCAACAAGGGGGCCTCGCGGTACCAGACATAAATCACCCAGTTAGCAATGTTGACTATACTTTCGAAAGCAAGGCGAATGGCGACAGGAGCACACTTGGTCACTTTATCGTTTCAGAAAACCTATTTAGTAAAATAACTCAATACTTAACAATTCATGACGGGGATAATGCACCGATTAGTCTCTTTGTGGATGTGTATATACCTAGTCTTAATAACTCTAAATCAATTGATGGTAACCACAATGTTCTCAAATGGCAGAATGCATCAGCCAATCATATATTTAGGTACAAGAGTACTTTAGAGAACTTATTATCTGATATTGTGATACCATATGATGCAATTCAATGTAAAGATATGTTCTGTAAAACTAACAATGTCGAATTAGAGAATTTCTATAATATACTGGTTGAGGCTAGTATCAATGCTGGTCTTAAGAGCATACCAAACGAAACGTGTAATACCTGGTTGGTCTGATTATGTTGACGACTATCGACGGGTATCTATTTTCTGGCATAACATTTGGAAAGAAAACAACTCCCCCCGCACAGGACATCTCGCAGACATTAGATGTCGCACTAGAGCTCGATACCACTGTTAAGTCAGACAAAGATGGCATATCAGCGAATAAATTGGCAGAAAGTCTGGTTGTAAATAAAAGTCGAAACTTCTGGAAAGAAATTCAGAAAATAAAGGGTTCAGTTAAGGCAATATCGAATAACGTTGATGGTAAAACCAGTGCTACGGATATAAGTCAAGTGTTCTCAAATAAGTATGAACAATTATTCAGTTCTGTTTCTTTTGATCCAAATGATTTAAAGTGCCTTAAAAATCAATTAGAATCAGATATTGAGAGTAGATGTCAACATGCAAATTGTTATGGTAGTCATGAAATAACTGTTAAGGATGTTATTGATGCTGTAAATCATCTTAAACACAATAAAAATGATGGTAATCTTGGTCATACTTCCGAGCATATTATATTTGCCCCTCATTCATATATTTGTCTATTATCCCTAGCGTTGACGGGAATGCTACATCACGGAAATAATCCACCTAATTTCTGTTTATCAACCATTCTTTCTATTCCTAAAGACAGGAAGAAATCTCTCAGTGACTCGGATAATTATAGGGGAATCACCTTGAGTAGCATCACTGGCAAATTGTTAGATTGGATAATTCTTAATAAACATAAACATATTCTAAAATCATCAAATCTACAATTTGGTTTCAAAGGTGAACACTCAACTACTCACTGATCATTTGTTATCAGCGAAACTATTCATTATTATCATCAGAATAAATCTGACATGTATATCTGTCTTTTGGACACAAGTCGGGCATTCGAAAGAATACATTTCATAAAGCTTTTCAGGATACTTCTGGATTGTGGTATATGCCCTCTAATAGCTAGATTTCTCCTCGACAATTATATCTCGCAAAAGGTGAGAGTAGAATGGGCTAACCCAATAATGTACACTGTATATTTAGATAAACTATTAAGCAGGTTGCAACAGAGTAAGCTTGGGTGTCATATTGGACACATCTATGTTGGGGCCGTTGCTTACGCCGACGAATTTTCAAACGAATATGATGTTAAGTTTAATCCCGACAAAAGTAAAATGTTAATTCTAAGTCATGACCATAAAGATGTATCTAATATAAATCAATGTAGTAAATTCTGATCACGATTGGGTAATTCCTTTTTATGTGACAGCAATGAATATATTATACAGAAGGGTATCAATAATTTCATATGTAAATTTAATGTATTTTTTAACTTTTTAAACATGCATGTTCAGATACTAAGGGTTTTATTGAGCCTGGCGAACTTATATACGTAAATTGCTTAATCTACCATATATAACTCATAATTCATTGTTACCAATATGTCACGACATTCCTGTAGAAAACCAACTGCATCTGAGATTTTTTAAGTTCTTTAAAATATGTCTTTTAAATAAGAATGAATGTATTAAGATGTGCAGTAGCCTTGCTTTTATTGGAAGCAAATCTCCCACTTGTAACACCCTATCATATATTTGTCATAAATATAATTTTTCCCGTTATAACATAAATTATATAGCGTGTAATATTTTCTACGCCAATCACGAGACTGCAGAAAATGACTGCAACAGCAATTAGAGATATGACGTCATTGATAGAGTCAAAAGAACACAAAGTGGATTACTCTAACATAAAAGAAATCATTCATCATCTTTGTACATGGTAATTGCATTGATGTGAAGTTATTTATTGTATATATTGTCTAAAGTGTACCATGTTTTCTGAGTACGAATAAAACATTTGAAACTTGGGAGTTGGTTAAAGACTGGGTCAGTCTCAATTTTTCTGTTTGTGGGCAGATTGAAGGACATTCACGTCCCTAAATTTATGGTTATTACTGAAAGCAAATAATAAAAGATATATATCATGATAAATATTATTATGTTATTAACATATTTTTTCTGTTAAGGTAGTGCCCTTTCCAGCAAGAAGTTTCCAATCATCAGGTATCTCGTTCAGTGGAACTTTAAATAAGTAACATAGCTGTCCTCCAGTACGTATATTTAGTTTATCACTACTCATCGTTACAC